GCCGACAAAGTTTTTAGGACAGGGGTACATAAGTTATCAGGTCTATAAAATTTGAGTTACCATGTTATTCACACGAAAGTTAAGGAGGATATTTCATCACCCCCCACCCCCCGGGTCAGTAAAGTTAGCAGGAACGGGGTACCTAAGCGCGGAAAAAATCAAACAGTAAATTAACACATTTTTATGCATACGTAGTACAGGAGACATGTTAAATAGCCCATTTACTTTCTTTTGTTCAAGAAAGGGATCGTAGGTCAGGTGGTAGGCTAGTTGAGTTGGCTCACTAGTGGTGCAAGGACCGAATCCTCTCTTGTTCACACCAATTTTTGCGTGAAAAAATCTCGAACGAAAAAAGATCTGAAGAGGGAAAAAAATGGATCGGGAGGAGAGCAAGAAAATCGGATCTGGAGCGGATCGTGCGTGCATGCAACAGAGAAAAGAAAAGGAAACTGTAGCACTAAAAATGCACAGAGAAAAAAAGTACTAACATTGGCACTTGATGAGTGAATCAAAAGATGACGTTGAAAAAAATGGTTGGCATTAAATGGGATGGCTGCACGGACAATCAAATGGAAGAAGCGAATGGCTTGAAATTAATTTCCTGAATCAACGCACATGAACGAGCAAAATAATGGTGTCTTAATTATGCTGACGTGGCTCTGTAGGGTTAAGTATGACGACTATCGTTTGCCTAAGAAAAATATGCGTAGTGGTGTGGTTGCAGGCTGCTGTAGGTCTTTTCTTGGAGACCTCAGTTCGATTCCAAAACGCAGCAATTTTTTTCTCGCCTATGATGGCAGTTTTGCGGAAGAAAAAAGAAGAATTGGGAGCGATTCAGTCGTTCTTGCATGTTGCAAACGACCAGTCGACTGGTCGTTAGATTTCTCGTTCATAATATACTAATTTGATATCATATATGGTACGACTCTTTTGTATATAGTTGGTCAAAATTTTATAACTTTGACTTATGACAAAACATAGAAATACGCTTACTCGCCGATGAAGGGAGTACATGTTTTTTTCATACGTACATTAAATACAATATAGTGATACTTGGTCATCTGGTGGGGTTCCCAAATTTTTGGGAGGTCCTGTGCGGTCGGCCACCTTGGCCTCCTCCATTGACAAGCTGCTTCTTGGAATAGAGATATGTTATGGTTTTTTTTTTTTGGATGCAACGCTGGGCATTGTTGCTACTTGCTAGTAATAGGGCACATGTGCACCAGAGATCTGTGTAGTCACAAACCGTATTATACACATCGTTACACGTGCTGGCCGGGCCAGAAACCGAAAAATTCTGATTCTCTGCATCCGATAACTTAAAGGAATCTGAACTATACTTTGCGCTCTGAATGCACGTACTACGTCCCAGCTCGCACGCGCTCGTCTGAAGAACGCGTGCGCGCGGTCGGTTGGTGACACCGCGCCGTCGCCGTGCATAAATACCTCGCCCCGGCGATGGCGATAGGACTCACTCACCACTCACAGACAGCTCAAAGCAAGTAAGCAGAGAAAGCAGTAAGACGTTAGCAACTAGACTGTCCGAGTAGCTCACTGAACTACCCAGCTCCAGCTCCCATGGCCAGCTTCGCCTCCCAGCTCCTGGACGTGTTCTACGACCTCGTCCAGCGCGTCACCGGCTACACCGTCCGCCCCGACGACGACAAGGGTACGTACGCGCCCCCGCTCTGGAAACAGTATTGTTCATGTTGCAGTCAGCGTTATCTTGTACTCCTAGTTGCTCATGATTTGCTACGTGTGTGCGCTTCTTTCCGTTCTGCAGATGCACAGAAGCCCAGCAAGTTGGCATTTGTGGAGAAATTCCAGGCCGAGGAAGTAGTTGAGATCAGGTCCAGGAATCTCCCGGTGTCGGGGGGCTCAGGCGCCCAGGTCAACCTGGACGGTATGTAGAGCAAGCTGGCCTCTGCTGCTAACAGTTTTGAGACGTGGGCATGGCCGTGTGGTTCCCGTAGCCTTAAGATGGTGTGCCGCCTGCTGGCGTTTTCAAAACTTCAGATAATAAACTCGTGTGTGTGTGCGTGCGTGTTCCTGTAATGTTTCAGTTTGTCACGTCCTTTTGTACTGCATGTGTTGTTCTGAACTCCATGATCGAGTTGTGTGGGTGTTGTTCTGTTGTGTGACTTTCCCTCTCTTTTTTCCTTTATTATTTTTTGCGAGTCTGTTGGGTGTAAGCTGTAAGGCTAATAAAGCAGTAACTTGATGAGCATGTTTGTTAAGTTTCTACCGATCAAGTGTTCGCTTTTCCGAGTACTGTCGGATTGGTTCCTTTTCTGTTTAACTAATTACTCGGTGAAGAAACACGGATGCTTTAAAAACCTAAAGGACTGAGAAACAATGGTTGGATCGACTCGACATGTGGCGTCCATCTTTCTTTTGGATTTTTGACATCAAACCTCTTTATTAGCTTTCAGTAGTAGTTGCATCATCTATAAGAAGAGGCATGGTACTGTCGGGCGGTTCGACAGAGTGGAACTTCTAGGCAAACTAGCAAGTTCATGAGCTAACATTGTTTGTCTTCACGGCCATAGCAATCTATCATCTAACACCCCTTGATATCCCGGTTGAGGTGCGAAAGAAAATCGATAGCCTGAGACGTGCCTATCTATGGGCAGGCTGCGACAAGGTGTCTGGAGGCAAATGTAAGGTTAGCTGGAACCTTGTCTGCAAACCCAAGATTTTCGGCGGCTTGGGTGTGCTAAACCTCCAAAATTTTGCCGCCGCCCTTCGACTACGTTGGCTTTGGTTCGAGTGGGTTGACCTCCCCAAAACTTGGGCTGGAATGGAGACACCCTGTAGCAATGCTGACAGAGATCTCTTTGCGACGTTCACGAGTGTGACCATTGGTGATGGTAAAAAGGCAAGATTCTGGGAATCGTCATGGCTGAATGGCCTCAGACCAAAAGATGCCGCGCCCAAGATCTTTGAGATATCTAAGAGGAAGGCGTGTTCAGTCAGCAAAGCGCTTGATAACAACTTCTGGGTCAGTCAGATCGACGCTACTCAGGACCTCTCCTTGGCCCATATCCAGGAGTTCGCCAACCTTTGGGGAATGCTTCAGGATGTTACTCTCAGCCTGGATAGGGAGGACACCATACATTGAAATTAAATTCACCTCCACCAATGAATATTCAGCGGCCACTGCTTACATGGTGCAGTTTGCAGGACAAGTTCTCAGCCCGACCTCTACCACGATATGGAAGACTTGAGCTCCGCCGAAATGCAAATTTTTTTCTTGGTTGATCATCCAAAATCGTGTGTGGACGGGCCGATCGGTTGCAACGGCGGGGATGGCCGAATTGCGGCTTCTGCCCCCTTTGCAAGCAGGTTCAGGAGTCAGCTCCTCACATTCTCTTCCAATGCAGATATAGTGCCCGAGTTTGGAACGAAATCATCGCTTGGCTTGGCATTCATGGCCAATCGACGACGGCTTGGCGTCATGAGATCTCCGTCAAGGATTGGTGGCTCAAGACGATCAACTCTGGAGGACACATCAAGAGGGCGATTGCCTCCGTTATGATACTTGTCTCGTGGGAAATTTGGAAGGAGCGAAATGCGAGAGTCTTCCGCAACACGGCCACCCCGACCACTGTCATTGTCGCGAAGATCAAAGAGGAGGCCCGACTTTGGTCGTTGGCTGGAGCGAGCCACCTGAGTAATCTTATGTCATGAGAGTAGTCTTTCCTTTGTTTCTGTCGTTTTACGGATTATGTCTAAATCTTCTTCTTAATCAATAAAATGGCAAGTCTTTTGCCTTGTTTCAAAAAAAAACATTATTTGTCTTCACCAGGGCAGTGTTCAATGGAGAAATGCACAAACTCATGGCATAATTACTAACAGTCGTCCTGCTCAATGGAGAAATGCACAAACTCGCGGCACAAGTACTAACAGTCGTCTTGAAATGCAGCCGCCACAGGGGAGAACGCTTACTCATTTAGGCCTTGTTCGGTTAGGCATGGATTGGAGGGGTTTGAAAGGGATTAAATCCCTTGCAAGTCAAAATCTCCCTCAAACCTCTCCAATCCCCTTCAATCCCTGTGGTGAGGGGATTAACCGAACATGGCTTTATAGTTAGAAAGTCGAAACAACCACCATATTTAGAAATCACAATTTTTCAGATTATCCGAATGGGTTGTAGCTATGATAAATACGGGCAGACGTCACAATATTCAGACTGACATTGAGAAGAAAAAGGCAGTAAGTATATACTTACTAGTTTAAAGTGCAAATTAAAAAGATTACTCCCTCAATCTCACAATATAAGATATTTTTACGAGCTAACATAACTTGTAAAAACATTTACATGATAGGACGGAGGGACTAGTTATAAAGGGCCAGTGCCTACTTACTAGGATGTACTCACTCCATCTGAAAAAATTTGTCTTAAATTTGTCTCCTAAATGGATGTATCTAGCATCAGATTAATACTAGATACATTTATTTAAGAGACAAATTTTTTCAGACGAAGAAAGTAGTTATGAAGAGATCAGTGATCTAAATCTTACAACAAACGAAACTCAAGGGAGTACCGATCAAAGGCTTCGTAGTTCCATATTACGACTTGTCATCCAAAATCTACTTTCCCACTGTTGAACATGTATACATGTACGTAGGTCTAGGTTTTGTATGCCGCAACTGTAGTGTCTCTCTCTCCCTATATGTACTTGTATCTTGGGAGATAAGACACCGGTCGCACCCCTTGTACCTATATATATGTGCCCAATGCACGATCAATTATTATCGATGCACCAAATCATTCTTCACATGGTATCTATTGCAAGTCGATCATCTTCCGCTTCCGCCTAACTCTAGCCGTCGCCGCCGCCTCCCCACCCACTCTCCTGCGCCGCTCCTGCCTGTTCCGCGTCGCGCCGTGCCGTATCCATCCCGCTAGCCGCCAACCCCGATCCCACTTGGACGATGCGCCGCTCGCTCGCTTCATGCCACGCCGTGCCGCTAGCTAGCCTCCCGATCCCGATCCCTCCACGTCGCCAGCCCGCACGCTACGCTACGCCCGCGTGTAGATCGCCCGAGCCAGCCGCCACCCGCTGCATTGCTCGCTACCGCGCCGCTTGCCCGCGCGTAGATCGCCCGAGCAGCCGCCCGCAGCAGCGCTCGCTACGGCGTTGCTTGCCCGCGTGTAGATCGCCCGAGCCGCCGCTCCGCTCCCTTCCCCGCATCACTATGACTTCCACCGGCTCTTCCTCCTACAACCCCTTTGCCGAGCCAGACCCCGCTGACATCCGCGACATCAACATCCACGACCGCGTCCCCGTCGTCCTTGATGCCACCGACGCCACGTACTTCGCGTGGAAGACGTACTTCTCGCTGCTCTTCCGCGAGAACAACCTCGTGGATCACGTTGACGGCTCCGTCGACTCCCGCGCCATGGTGGGCGACTCCGAGTGGACCGCGATCGACGCCACGCTCATCCGGTGGTTCTTCACCACCATCTCGAAGGACCTGTTTCACACGGTCGTGAGCGATGGTGATGACGCCCGCGCTGTGTGGGTCAAGCTCAACGGCCTCTTCACCGACAACAAGCTTCAGCGTCGTGTGTTTTTGCAGCAGGAATTTTTTGACTGTCATCAGGATGATCAGTCAATCGATGACTACTACCGCCGTCTGAAGACGTTGATGGATGAGCTCTGTGACATTGGCGCCAAGGTTGATGACGACCTCCTCCTCAGCACGCTCACGGCCGGCCTCAACGAGGACTTCGGTAACGCCGCCTCCAACCTCTCCCTCATGCTGGAGCCCTCCTTCCCCAAGTTTGTGGCATACTTGCGGTTGGAGGAGCGCCGGATGAAGGGGGTCAAGAAGCGTGTGCAGCACCACGCCCTCACCGCCGGCACCTCGCGTGGTGCCCCTGCACTGGCCGCTCCGCCCGTGCCTTGATGTCTACTACACAACCTTCTTCTTGTAGACGTTGTTGGGCCTCCAAGTGCAGAGGTTTGTAGAAAAGTAGCAAATTTCCCTCAAGTGGATGACCTAAGGTTTATCAATCCGTAGGAGGCGTAGGATGAAGATGGTCTCTCTCAAGCAACCCTGCAACCAAATAACAAAGAGTCTCTTGGTCCCCAACACACCCAATACAACGGTAAATTGTATAGGTGCACTAGTTCGGCGAAGAGATGGTGAAACAAGTGGTATATGGATAGTAGATAAAGGTATTTGTAAACTGAAATTATAAAAACAGCAAGGTAGTGTTGGGTTTCGTAGTAATTTCAAAAAAATTCCTACGCACACGCAAGATCATGTGATGCATAGCAACGAGAGGGGAGAGTGATGTCTACGTACCCAAACAGACCGACTGCGGAAGCGATAACACAACGTAGAGGAAGTAGTCGTACGTCTTCACGATCCAACCGATCAAGCACCGAAACTACGGCACCTCCGAGTTCGAGCACACGTTCAGCTCGATGACGATCCCCGGACTCCGATCCAGCAAAGTGTCGGGGAAGAGTTCCGTCAGCACGACGGCGTGGTGACGATCTTGATGTACTACAGCAGCAGGGCTTCGCCTAAACTCCGCTATAGTATTATCGAGGACTATGGTGGCAGGGGGCACCGCACACGGCTAAGGAATAGATCACGTGGATCAACTTTTGTGTTCTAGGGTGCCTCTACCTCAGTATATAAAGGACTAGAGGGGGGGAGGCTGGCCGGCCAAGGTGTGGCGCGCCAGGAGAGTCCTACTCCC